TCATCTATCACACAAGCACTTGACGATACAATTAGAGAACCCTCTAATACAATCGAGGTCATGAACGCGTACTTGAAATACTTATCTTCCGACAATTCCATTTCAAAAACAGTACCTGCATTCACAAATTTCAAAGCTCTTCATACTTGCATAAAAGAGTATAGGAATCTTTTGGTGATCCCATCAAACGATTCAATGCTGTCTTTTGCAAGTCATGCCTTTGCATACCTAATACTGACCCGCGGTACCTTCGCATGTCGTTAATCATATCTCTTGATCTGTATTGATGACTGATATCCTCAAAATTCGACTTAAACAACTGACCAACCACACAACTTCTAGCTTGTATGTCTTCGTGGTTTAATAACTCACATGTTGATTTGTAGACATCAATTTACTTTGAAATGATGAATGAGTCACAACCTCGGATCCTCTTTGCACGCAACCCCCATTTCTAACTTGCATCATTGCATCCGATGGTGTACGAAGTCTTTGTAGATTTTTTTACACAAAATTCAAAGTTCGGCTTTATCGCAAACACTAGCAGCTTGAAGCGTTGTTCTACCTTTGAACGAAAAATACACCCAACAGCAATTTCATCGACATAATCTACTGCATCCGTAGTTTTAATATTCTGCGTAGTTTAACTAATCCCTAAATAGTTTGACAATGTGCCTTTGTACTTACTGAATGCACCTTATAATAGGTTCAGCTACATTCTTAAGTTGATCATCAATCCCATCGTCATACCCATGTTCACCCTCGTACTCAGATTCCATCTGATCATCCTCATCCTTAGCCCCATCATCAATTTCATCTTCATGAAACTCATACTCGACCTCATTCTAAATCTCATACTCAACCTCATTCTCTTACAATTCACAATAATATGGTGGTTCATCATTACCTAGGTTGTCAGTCAATGGCCAAAAGATGGAGCATTCTTACTTAGAAAGTATGCAAATGAAGATGATATTTGGGTTTTCGAATAAAATGGTATATTTTCTTGATTGCTCCCACTAACATATGTTTTTTTCGGTACGATGGATAGGTACAACGACACTTGAGGAAGGGTCTAGAGGGTCATTCAAATAGAATCTTAGACTAATATCATAAAAAATGAGGTGCTTAGGGACTTCGTATTGTAGTTCAAATTTATATCAAATCTATAACAATTTTAAACTAATCTTATTCAATTCTTGTAAGCCTATACAATGCATTTTCTAGGTCGGCATATGTTGTAACGTCCCGTATTTTTTTATATAATATTTTAGTAGTTTAAATGTATAAACTAGAGAATTGTTTTTGTTTTTAAAATTTTTTTATCAATAGAGATTTTTTTCTAATTTAGTTTTTTTTTTTTTTGTTCTTWGTTCTTATCTTTCCAAAAAATATATATATAATTAATTGAAAAAATGAAAAGATTTAAAAAAAAAATAAAAGGAAAGAAAGATAAAAKAAAWWWAAAMMAAYRAAWGATGGGTTGGGCTTAGAATTAGTTAAAAGAGAATATTACAAACCGTAGATTATATGGTTAAGTTGTCATAAGTTTTTCCGTTTCCTCTCTCTCAATTTTCCCTCTCGCAAAATTGTTTTATTTTCTACTCCCTCATGCACACGTATCCAACGTCAATCCGGTTGGACCAGTAAATTTCGTAGACTGAGCCAACATTTATTTTGGATCGCTATTGAGGTAAGTGGCTCTGCATTCGGAATGCCTTAGGGTGAGGTTGAAATTTTTATATGATGTTTTGAATGGCTATAGTTTGTGAATTCAATGTTATGTGAAATTATTGTGCTGCATTACAGAATGTTTAATTATGGGACCTCATGCATGATCTCGAATGTGATATATATATATATATATATATATATATGAGGACTTAGGTGGGGTAAGACTTGGCTGTCCTGACTATGTGCCAACTACCATCAGTTTGGGTAGGGTCTTTAAGAAACCCAATAATTGAGTTGGTATGTAGGGTTGGGTTAATTGTACACCCTCACCAAAAGGAAAAGGAAAAGGAGAAGAATTTTAATAAATAAATATTTAGGTCTCACATGTTTATGTTGTATGTGTACATGTGTACATATCTGACCCTGGTTACTTACTATGTATTCTTAACACTCACCCTTTTCTCGTTATCTTTTTCTAGGAAATAATAAAGACGAACAAGGTGTGTGACGAGGATGTCTTTAGCCAATGCTATGGGTTTTCGCTTCTACATTAGTTTCATGTTTTTTTTTATTGTATTAAGAGTTATCAATCTTAATATTATGTTTTAGGTAAACTATTTATGGGATCCCAAATAAAGATTTTTTTTAATTTTATTTTATAAAGTTATGTTATAAGATTGTATTTTGTTTTATTTATTATCATTCATTTTTAAAATGCTTTTAAAATATTGAAAGCATGTAGTAACGTCCCTTAGAAATTTAAGTCTCAAAAAGTCAGGTTGTTATATATGTTATCATTTCATCGATACCTAAACATCACATAACCCCCACCCTCGTACACAGTTCTTACATCATTCTACTTACCACCATAGATTACAAATAGGTGACGTCACGCATTGTGCAAGGAGAATAAACAACAATCAATAATTAATTAGGGTTTAGGATAATTAATTTATACTTTAGAAAAATTTCTCAACTGTGATGTACTAAAACTCGACCAAGATTCTTAATTTTACAAAACTCGATTGGGTTCCCTAATTAGCTCCCTCGAGTTTTAGCAACTCCCCCAAGTTTCTTCTGTTTCATATGCAACTGATTTCGAAAAAAATTTCTCGACTACGATCTACTAAAACCAGACCGGGATTCTTAAATTGCAAAACTTGATTGTGTTTCCTAAGAGACTCCCTAGAGTTTCAGCAACTCCCTCGAGATTGTCAACCATTAATATACAACTCATCCTAGATTTTACCAAAACTGAAGTCAGTTAAAATTTGTGCTGTAAAAAACTAACCCAAAATTCAACTTAAAAAATACAACTCATACTCTAAACAAATAAAAAACTGACATCCTTCAAAATGATGAAGATGACAAAATGTAATCAACCTTCAAAATATGATTCTCGGAGTTCACCATTCAAAGAATCTACATGTTGCAAAAATTGATTTCTTCCAAGGGTTACAAAAACGTGAAAGATGTGGATATTTTAAGGCTCTAAGAAGATTTTGTTTTCTACCATATGAAAGAGAATTACAAAATCCATAGAAGAAATTAATGCTCCTAGGAAAAGTTGGTGAGTAATAAAATTGAAGTCAGTCCAAATCATTAAGAAACTCAATCGGGTTTGCTACAATCTAGGTATAGTTTTTTCATTACTTCAGGGTTCCAAATTTCAAACTTTTGCATATAAACTAGGGCAGTTTCATCTTTTTAGCCTCTTATGTGTTAGAAACACTTAGGGTAAAAAACATGAGACTTTTTATTTTGAGTCATTTGAGCAAAACCTAAAAATTTTTAGGTTAGTTTGGTCAAATTCCCCAAAAAGTCATATTTTATTTTTATTTTTTTTATAAAAAGAAAACTATTTTAAAATAGGAATACCTGCACATTAACTTTAAATCCAACTCACGCCTCCATTTTTGAAATATCTAGGTAAGAAAAGATCATTTTTACCACCAAGTACATCAGTACAAACTTCCACGTACTTCGATTAATCTCACAAGACAACCACCTGACACTACTACCGTTAAAATTTGGATAAGTATTATAATTAGAACATTTTCACAACAAAATCAGAAAAATCTCAATTAACCAACCTGACAAATATCAAAATGATTTAAGAATTCTTCAAATATTTCATTCTGAAAAAGACATTGAAAAAGATCCATTAGGAGATTTTGGTTCCCTGTTTTCAAAACGGAGAGTAGTATTTGTTAAGACAAATCCACGTTTGCTTCACATTTTTATAAATCTAAGTTTGCTATAGTAAATACTATTCTACCACCAGGTTTGCTACAGTAAATACTATACCCCTAACTTTATTTACACTCCCCGAGTTGTTACAGTGTATATTTTGTTTTCATTCTCCATTCTAAAATAAATTAATTTTTTTAATTAAATATATTAAATATGAGGAAATTAATTAATTATAGTTATAACTATAAATAAGTAAATCAATTTAATTAAAATTACATGTAATAAATAATTAATTCATATATCGACAACTTTTTTCTAGTTTTTATTCCAAATGATCCAAAAAATCTTTTTTTTTTTTTGTTCTTGGTATCTATTTCTAACCTTTTTTTTCATTTTATATAGTTGTTCATTTTGTTTCTACCATTTTTATTTACTTTTTGTTATCACTATCACATTTGTAAGTTCTAACAAGAGTTTGTAAGTTCTAACAAGAGGTTTTGAGTTCGATCCCCGCTTCCACATGTTGATAATTAAGTAGTCAATTTTTTTTAGAATAATTAAGGAATCAAATTTACTTAAGATAGTATACATAGTGAAATTTTAAATAAATTGTTGATAATATTTTCTTTAAGGTAAAATTTATGTTGAATAAATTTGTATGATAAATACTTATTTTCATTGGATAATTGAATATTTATTTAAAAATTAATAATTAGAAAAAAATTGGAAGGCCAAATGTATTAAAAATATTTTATATATCTTAAGTATTTCCTAATTTTATAAGAAAATTGACTTTTGTAAAATAATTTAAATTATTTTAATTAAATAATTAGTTTATAAATTAAATTTTTTTAAAAAAAAATTAGAACACAAATTTAATAAAATTGATTTAACAAAATACAAAACCTTAACACCAATCAAACACATAATTACTAACTCAAACTTAATAAATCTATTTCTTACGCCAACTAAACAAAAACTTAACAAACTTAACAAAAAACTTAACAAACTTAACAAAACAACGAACCAAACACTCATTGGAGTTTGTGCTAATCATAGGAATTGCTCCCATTTCTTTCTTCTAACTGATCAAGAAATTAGACAAAAGACCAGCTAAAGTAATGAAGAAAGAGTTGTTAACCACGGCAACCAATATAATTCATGAGATTAAAACTCTATTATTATGGAGACACGAGGGAATAAACCAAAAAAGATAGGAAAGGAAACAGAGAGAGAGCACATTCCCCTTCTTGAAACCTATTTCAGAATCTTTTTGCCAAGACTTTATCCAACCATTTGAAGTCAAATATTACTGAAGCAAAATAGAACATAATTGTACAGAATATTCATAGTCGTTTTGTCCAGTCAAAAGGCTCCCAATCTTGCAAGAAGTTCGCCACAGCATGCTTTTGCACCTCAATAGATTCGTATCTACGTCGCCGGTGCATATCTTCCTCAGCTAGCTGTAACATACCTCTGATGACATTGAGGCCAAAACTGGTCTTGAAATTCTTTTCGTCATCTATCACATGCACAAACCCCTTGTTCAACCCAAATTCTACGTGGAAGTATGGAAAATGCTCTGGAATTGATCCACGCAGTCCCTTTTCACTTGTGTCAATTAGTTTTTTGGCATTGTGCTGGCTCCACTCTTCCTCTGCTTCATCAATCGCCTGGAATAAACGAACTTCTTGAAATTATTGTAGGGAGCAAAGATACAGATGAAATAATCCAAGAACACAAATAAAGTTAGATTTAATACATTTGAAGTTGAATGAAGATACATTGACACAAAGTTAAATACAATTGATGTTGCAGTGCCGAAAGATTCAACGCAAATGAAGTTTACGGTGCCAAAGGTATAAAAATGTCACAACGTTGAGAGCATCTATTTGAGATGATTTTCTATATGACCATGCTAGAAAATACAGATGGTAAGCAACATCAATGGGAGACAAGTCATAAACATGGATGTCAAGATAAATTATGTTCCATATGATTCAAATTTGAACTTTAGCTAAATTATTACTTCCGCATTTATATTATAGGCTTACAATCTAACTCAGCATCAAGTTCTGATTTAATGCAGACTTATTTTTGGAGTACAAAAGGAGGAAGGTGATAGACCCCAAATCACTAAATACTATACACATAAGCATGTGAGAAAATGGGGAGCCACGTAAGCGTAAGGGGAGAAATTGTGGGTGGGCCCTAGGAATATTGTTAGTTAGAGAGAATGAGGTGTACGGTCTGTGTCTATGGAGGGGAGAGGTTAAAATAGAAGTTTGTTGAGGGGGAAGGGTATATTTTTTGACATTGTGAATTCTGTAAGGCTCATTGAGTCTGAGGGACAGTTGGGGAGCTCTCAAAATCTCTCTTGTTGATGCTCTGTTTGCTAAATAATATTTAGCCTTAACAATTTGGTATCAGAGCCAAGTTGGTAGGGAATGGTGGGAAAGATGGAGGCTAGAATGAATACCTTGGTGGAGAATTTTGCAGGATTACAACACACAGAGGAGCGAATCAACCAACGTTTGTCTCAATACCGGGAGGAGATGGGCCGCACAATCGAGCAAAAATTGTCCGAGGGATTGGACGAACTGTCCAAGAGGCTGGAAACAATGGTAAGGGGAATAAGTCACGGTGGAGTCGTCGGAGAGAACCCAGACTGATAAAGGTAAAGATCCGGTGAGAGTGGAAAAAGACGAAAAAGATACCCTTCCCCCTCAACAAACTTCTAACCTCTCCCCTCCATAGACACAGCCCATAAACCTCATTCTTTCTAACTAACAATATTCCTAGGTCCCACATACAATTTTCCCCCTTACTGCCTACGTGGTTCCCCATTGTCTCAGACACTTGCGTGTATAGTATTTAGTGATTTGGGGTCTATCAGAAGGCAATTAATCCTCCCATACCAAATGAGTTCCAAAAAAAGATTGAAAAAAAGCTTCAATTGGCATAATGTTCATGAACAAAATATAGCTACAAAAGGTAAGATAGTACACCACAAATAACTCAAATGCTTAATAGTATCCCAAGGTCTGTTCTATTCTCTCCAATTTTCCTTGTTCTTCAATTTCTTTCCAACTGTTTTTCCCACGTGGAGATGCTTTAACTGCACACATCCAAGTTAACTAGCTTTCTGTTTGAAGGGGTGCCCACTAAAACTATTCCACACAATCATTAGCACCCTTTGGCAAGCACCAAAAGTGATTGGAAGCTTTCTACGGTTGAGCCAGCATTCAAGAGTACAGTGACAATAATAAAGAAAAACGTGGTTCCAGGCTTTTCAAATTCCATCTGCAAGATAGCCCCAATTAGGACAGATAAAATGTTTGAAGACGTGTTTCTTAATACTCTATCTGCAGTGCTTATTCCCATCAAATCTAAGGGCACATAAAAACCTGAACATTTTAAGGGAACTTTTTTGCCTCCAAAGGTATTCAGTAAGGTGGGCAGCAAAATTTACAAGACCATAGACTAGCTCCTGGATTTGTCAAGACCCCAAACAATCAGATCCCTCCGTTGATACATTGGCCTCTGACAAGAACAGAGGCCGGTTGGCCCATTCCTCCTGCCATCTCTCATTTCAATTTCACCTGAATGAGAGATTCCTTATTTTTCCACCAAAAAGCTTATTGAATCAACCAATTGGAAGGGAAGGCTATGAATGCACACTTTCAATGGCTTTACCATGGTGCAAATGTGTACATCCTTTTAACAGTTATAGTTTAAATTCTCTTATATCCAACTGGAGAAGTTTTCTATAACTTCATTTGGATAGGCCTTTTTGTATATTTCATGCTATCAATGAAATTTGTTTCCTATCCAAAAAAACTGGACACTTTCAATGGCTGATGAGAGGTATCCACATATCCTCCCAAAATACTGTTACTACCGTTGTCCAATTCGCAGACTTGGAAACCACTCATCATTGTGCTGCATTTGTTAAGTTATTGTGGGTCATTGAATAAGGCCCTTTATCCAGCCTATAGGTAACATTAGTCATCTCTTTTCTTACGTTTTTTCTCTTCCCATTAATTATATTTATTTTCTTTCCCTTTTATACAATTCATTTCCTTCCCTATTTCATAGGATATATTTAGGGCTGTATATTCCTCTCTAATAGAATTATAGAAACAAGCAAACATACAACATTTTTCTCTCTCCTCAAATCACTTCAGTTTCTCATTCTTCATGGTATAGAGCAACTCACTTTATAACCACACTCCAACCATGTCTAAATTAACAGCCAATGAGAAATCAACTACCACACTGGGAGATCATCCTGCTAGGCAGTTCACAAACAAAAATAGTGAATATGTTGACAACTCCCCATTTGTTTCCGTCTCCTTCTCACTCATTGCTGTATCTCGATAACCATTGATCAAATTTAAAAAAGATGCCCATCCAACCTTGTCTATCCCAGAGGGGAGCACATAAGGTGATTTTTCCCACTATTGTTGTCCAACTTGTTTATCTCTGCTAAGTATCTCTTTTGTTGTTTAGTTTCTCAACCCAAATGACGTAGTCGCCATTCTATGATCCTTGAACAATTTGTGAGTCAACAGAGAATTTAAGAGAATTGAATGTGTCTACCAGCCAAAAGCAAGGGAGCACCACATTAAGGAGAGGGATAATGTAAAGTTCCTTCCGATTTCCAAGATTCTGGCTGTTTCCTTTGAAATATTCATCAACACATATTGTGAAAGATTTCTTGTTGACGGGTGTGGACCGCACTAAGTAGACCCAATTTTTCAGAAGGGGTGGCAGCCATGGGAGAGGTGGTGAGGGGAGGAGTCAGTGGGGAAGGGGAGAGAGAGTTACTTTTCGCGGATAGCTTGATTCCATAGTAAGATGATAAAAAATCTAGAAGCAAAATCAGATAATAATAAATTTGGCAATATAGTTTCTATTAAATGGACTTATTTCATTCTACCCTCTTGAATTTTCTTCTTTCTCCTCGTATATACTTGCAATTTTGTCCATCCTATGATCAAGCAATGCTATAATTTAATCCAATATGATGGTACACTTTCTAAATGTGCACATGACAAACTATAAAGCAATGTTATGTTTTAACCGAATATGATGCAACACCTTGTTGAATGACGGCCACAAGGAAAGCTAAGAGAACAACAATAATAAATTGGAACGATTTTGGATGGGACCATGAACAAACGAATAAAACATTCTCACCTTCTTAAAATATAGAGGAGCCTCTTTCGCTATTCCTTGGGGCAAAGGAATGCACTCAATCAAGCAATGTCGACGTTGTTTCGCCAAACCCACAACTGTTTCTAGAAAAACCACATCTCTCTCTTGCTTTGCAAACATCATTATAAGACACTTCTTGAAGTTGCGAATTTCCTCCCACACAGTTTTGTCCACACTTCTTGTAGATGATTCATGCTGTAAAGCAAACAAGTCACAATGAAATTCCTACTGAATAATCATGTGAGGATAAGGTAAAAGAAGAAATCATTGCAACTTCTAAGAGCATTCTACAAATTTTGGACAAAATTTTTACATATAAGCTTTTTTCTCTCTAGGGTATTTGGACCATTGTTCTCCATGAAGAGACATTAAGCATACTTAAGAAAAAAACATTTCCCTGTGTGTAAAAAAACATTATTATTTCATACTCATCAACCACAGTACAAACCACTATGAGTTATGTTTAAAACCACAAACACAGGACAAAGAGGACTAGATTTTAGGACTAGGTTTTAACTTACTTGAATAGGTAAAATGCAGCAATGACCAGTAACCACAGGTTCCCATTGAGGCAACATCAAGTATGTGTAATTTGCTATTGACACAGTTAGATGTTTTGGCCGGTTCGGATTTTCAAAGCAAAAGATGCAACGTTCTTCTTGAGTTGCCATATGTCTTTGACGAATATCCTTCCCAGATAGCTTATCATCGTTGCTTCCCCTTTTTCTCTGTGCCTTTTTTCTTGGACCATCTTCATAATCATATTCATCATCTGCTCGACTAAACATGCTGTACTGCTTGTTCTGCATTATATTTTTAGCTAGATAAAGATCTGCATCATTCTCCTTTTTCCTCCTAGATGTATCTGGAAAAGGTTTTCTAAACAAAGGGAAAGTATGTATTAAAATGACAGTGAAGAAATTTCCAAGGAAGAAAGGAATAAGCTACAATGACCACCTTATTGTTATTTCAAAAATTGATACCAAATGAAAATAGGAAAATATACCAGAAACAAAAATAAAAGTATAAATCATTCCATGGACCACAATAATAAACTATCAATGCTAGCAAGTCCCCATAAATTTCACATACAATATTTGTTTCCTAAGGATGAATCTCCAATTTCTATGTTTAAGTTACACATATTTTAGTGATCAAATAAAATTTTCACAATAAAACAAAAAAGATAGGCTGGTTAGTCAGGCATGTGAATGTGAGGAGAATTCAAGAATTCAATACCTAGCTGTGCTTCGTTCATTTTGCGGCTTAACATAATTCCCTTCAACACTCTCTGTCGCCTTCATATTTTGTACTTCTTGCTGATAAAAGTAAATAATAATAAATTAAAAATTTTGAACAAGAAGCTTATACCCGTAAAAGCAAAATCAACCATGTTAGCACACTCAACTGTTATTATTTGTACATATCCCAAGCCAAAGGAGGTAACATTTAAAGTTATCTCATTTAGCAATAAAATCACGTTAAGTTCAAAATACATACAACTAACAAGGGGAAAAAATTAGACAACAAAATCAAGGTAGGTTGACTTGTACAGGGACATTGCAGAATATAATTTCTAACATCTTTTACCCTCTAATTAGCTGTTTGGTACATAGGATTGAAGGGTGGAAATGGGTAAAGGTTTCATATTCCTTTCATTAGTATGGTTGGATATGAGAACTGTTAGAGTATATAGATTAGTATATTTTATATTCTTGTATTAATATTAATTTGTCATTTACCTTCTCCTTATAGGATTAGGTCAACACTTGTATATTTGTCTATATATATAGACTTTAATAATGAGAATATAGAACATTGGATTCTCTCCAATCTTAGTCTCTACATGGTATCAGAGCTCTAGATTTCTTGCCCATTAGGGTTTTGTGTCCGTTGGGGTTTTGATGCCCATTAGGGTTTTGATGCCCATTAGGGTTTTGTGCCCATTAGGGTTTTAATGCCCGTTAAGGTTTTGTGCCCGTTAGGGGTTTTGTGCCCGTTAGGGTTTTGATGCCCATTAGGGTTTTGTGTCCATTAAGGTTTTGTGTCCATTAAGGTTTTGTGTCCATTAAGGTTTTGTTCATTGCTATCCAACACAAATCACCGCCGCTGCCGCCGCTGCTGACCGCTGCCTTTTGCTAATTTGCCAGCTGTTTTCCGATTGTTGTTCGTAGGTTTCATCTCGCCGCCAAACGCCGTCACCGTGTGCTTTCGTCACCGCCAGTCGCCACCCGTCGCCTTCGCCCCTCGGGTTGTCGTGGGGTATCACTTAGGGTTTCTGGTTTCAGAAAACACCTGATCCGGTTCAAGTGGTTTAGTTCAACCGGTTTGGTTTCAAGTGGTTTGGTTCATCCGGTTCAAGTTCGGTTCGGTCTGGTTCGTCACATTCTGGTTCAGTTTGGTTGATTTATACCGGTTTTGGTTAGATTTGGTTTGGTCTGGTTTTGTCGTTTTGTTCAAATAAGTTCGTTTGTTTATTATGGTCGAGAAGAAATCAATCGTAACTTCTGAGGTGATCCCAATGATATCAAAAAAAATCACAAAACACAAGTTGAATAGATTATTTGTCTAACAAGTTGGGCATGATTAACATATATGCACCAACTTGAGGGGGAGTGTTAGAGTATATAGATTAGTATATTTTATATTCTTGTATTAATATTAATTTGTCATTTATCTTCTCCTTATAGGATTAGGTCAACCTTGTATATTTGTCTATATATATAGACTTTAATAATGAGAATATAGAACATTAGATTCTCTCCAATCTTAGTCTCTACAAGAACAATCCTTTCTTTGACACCTGATATACCCATGAATAATGGGCATTCTAGACCCTTCCAAATTTGTGGGTTTTCTCTATGCCTAGAAGTAAACTTTGCATGCATCTCTTTTTTCTCTTTCTTAGTTAATGGTAGAACTCACTTCTCGTTGACAAGAAGAGAGTGATACATAACTAGGGGAAAATTTTCCATATAGATTTCCAATCCCAAGCCATATGAGTTGAGCACATCACCAAAAGTATTTCCTCTATAATAGCATTAATATCATGTCTAAATGACTAAGTGTGGGGTACTACAATGATACTCCATGGAAGGATGTAATACACAATAAAATAAGAAAATGACGTTCATAGAGTCTAGAACTTGTCCTACCAAAAGCTTTTGGGCTTCATCGTGTTTTCCTTTCATTTGAAGCTGAAATGCCTTTGCAGCCAACTGATTTGCACTCATTGCATCCTTAGCTGAAACAGAATCTTCGTTGGACTTCTCAGACTTTGAGAAAACCAATTCTGATTGCACCTTTGTCTTTGTTGGATCATCATTAGCATTTTCACTTTGTTGTATGAGAAATTCAGATGCAAAACTTCCATCATCTGAGAACTTATTTAAACTGGACATGGCTAATGAAATGAAGCCAGCATCCTTTGAAGAGGTATTTTGACTTTTTTGCTTTCCCCAAGACAAAGAATCTCGAACTTTAGGTTCCCTCATTTCAGGGTGTCTGGAAGAGATGTCTTTCAAGTAGTCCCTCGCAGAGCTCTAAAGTAATGTATCAGATTAGCAAGGTAAGTTTAAATCTCTTCATTTTGAAGAATAAAATAAGTTTCAATCTAAAATATGCAGCCAAATATGCAAAACAGATTACTCAATGATTTCCAAGTACCTTTCCAGGATCACTTTCATTTTGACTGTTGGAAACTTGATCATCATCGGCCAGCCCTCTCTTTCTATTTCTTATGGCATGCAGATGAGAACGTGATGGTGCCACTTTACCGGATGCTACTGAGACAGCAAGTTGGCCGAGAGAACCCCAACGTTCTTCAACAACCTATACAATTTCAACTTATAAGAAACCAAAGAACAAAACTTTGAATTAAAATATGTATGAACTATGAACAAAAACAATAGTAAAAATAAGCATGCCTCTTCAAGCTTCCGTCCTTCTCGAGCTGCTTGTTCCTCAGCACGCTTCAATGCTTTAAGTCTCCAACTAGCACCCCCATCCCCAACAACACGAGGTGGTGGAACTGTGTCTGTATTTAATTTGGTCCCATCACTCGCCTCCGGATAACCAGTTCCATTTTCTTTAAAATATGGATTCAATTCCTTGGGATTTACCATATTTATCTGGCAAGAAAAGTAACTTATACATCGTCAGCTAACATCTATCTAGTTAACCATATAGTTTTAATTAAAATTCAGAACATAAAGCAGAACAAAATGTAAACACGTCTCAATTTCAATAAGCAGCAAAGGGGGAAAAACTTTTTGAGCATGAGTCCACTAGATATCACGTGTTCTAGTCATCTTATTATGATGAGTAAACATGAATACCAAAGATGAATATACAGAAATACCAAAAGCAAGAGGAAGAAAACGTCTCTAAAAATAAAAATAAGATAAAAAAAGATAATATTTCAAAAGGTAAAAGACTTCCTTCCTAAAGATGTTAAGAAAGGAGACGAAAGAACATAAATCTTATTGACATATATATACAGCTAGCCCTATATATAGCTGCCTAGCACGCCACATGCATGCTTTTCAAAAAGGCACCCACCCTAAGGTTCACAACTAATAAGTTTATATATATATATATATATATC